TCTAGTTTTGATTAGTATACTATAAAATTTTCAAAATAATCAATCAGTTTATAGAGGCTTCACCAAACCCATGGAGTTGACTTACCCCATAACTAGTTCGTTTATCTTTGACCCAATTTATCTCAGTTCCTGTGAAAGATATCACAAAGTAGTAAATTGATAAAATGTTTATCAAAATATCACCAACATTTTATCAGTTGACAACTTTTTTATATCTATCACAACAAACTCACATTAGCCAACTGATCCATATTGAAGTCTCGCTTATTCGTCGGCCGACAAGAAGCCGCATAATTCTCAAAAAGCCTCATAATCGGCACATTTCTACCAGGAATCGGGATAGCAGAACTGGTGAATGGACGTACGGTACCTAGGGATTAATAGGTAGATCTAATTAAGATAATTAGACAGCTTACTGGTATTTACTAAGGAAATTAGAAAAAGTAAAATTACAAACGAAATCGTCATCTTGGAAAAGAGAGAATACGAAAAGTGGAAGCAATTGATCCGAAACGGGAGATGCCCGATTTGGAAAACAGAAGAGGAGAGAAATAGTGTGGGGGATGGAGAGACGCAGAGATTTTTGACCTACTGACATTGTAAAAGAGAACCGGAGGATAGGGGGGAGGTGACAGAAAAGTACGGGATGAATCAGAAGACAAATTAAAACTAGAGGAAACGTTTAGGCGTACATCTGGACATGAGGATTTACATAAGGACCTGAAATTTTGTTCTACAATCTATAACTTCTTAAACTACATTTTATTCATTTTCCGGCTCCATAAAAACTCTTCCAAGTCATAAAAATTCCCAAAATTTCATATTTTTCATGACTTCCCGGAGTTTGCTCTGTCATTAACACACAAACACGTGGTCATAAAAATCGCAGGAAAATTTCTCTGATAAGAGATGAAGAACGAATAAGGTGTCAGTCGATTCTTCGGAGACGATGGCGGCCGCTGCTCGATTCGCTCTGCTCCTTTTGGTTACTGTAGGTACCGCACTAGCGGCACTACCAGACTTGGGATATCCAGGATGGCAATGTGATGCTTCCCTTTATCAGAAGTAGGTTTTAAACTTTTTTCCTGTAAAAACCCCTTATTGAAGGTCCAAAAAAGTGCCCACTTCCGCGCACTCTGTTCGTTTTTCGGATATCAAAGTCATCGGAGCCCTCGGAGACTCCCTGACCGCTGCCAATGGAGCTGGAGCACCAAAGGGGGATCCACTTGCTGTGATTCTTCAGTATAGAGGGCTTGCATTCCAGTGCGGAGGTGATAGCTCGTTGGATGAGCATGTCACTGTTGCTAGTGAGTTTTGGCGGGGAAAGGGAGAGGTCGGAGATGGACAGCGATGATCGGCAATAGTCAGCGATCGTTGGAAACTGCTTGCTGATAATCGGCCACCTCTGGAATCTGATCGCCGATAGTCGGTGACACCTTAAAAGTGATTTCCGATAGTCGGCGATACCTATAAACTGATCGCTGATAGTCGGCGACATCTGGAATCTGTTCGCCGATAGTCGGCCGCTTCTGGAAACTGATCGCCGATAATCGGCGACACCTGAAAAGTGATTTCCGATAGTCAGCGACACTTAAAAATTGATCGCCGATAATCGGCGACACTTGGAAACCGATCGCCGATAGTCGGCGACGCTTCTAAACTAATATCCTAGCACCGGCGACACCTAGACTCTGATCGCCGATAGTCGGCAACCTCACATATCAGATCGCCGATTTTCGACGACTCTTGGAAACCGGTCACCGATAGCCAGCAACACCTAGAAATTGATTGCCGATAATCGGCGAAGACTGAAAACTAGAAAAACTTTAATATCTTTTTTTCCAGATGTGCTCAAAAAGTTCAGTCCGAATCTCATGGGATACTCTACCGGCATCGGAAGTGCCAACGTCTGGGAGGTCTCGAAACTAAACCAAGCCGTTCCTGGAGCCGAGGCAGTTGACACCATCACCCAGGCCAGAGCTTTGGTCCAGATTATTCAGAGTCATAAGGAGGTAAGCTAAAATCTTTGGAAACATTCAAAGTTCTCGTTTTCAGATCGACTATAAAAATGACTGGAAGCTGGTGAACATTTTCATCGGAGCCAATGACATGTGCGCTTACTGTAATGATGGAGAGAATGGAGCACACTCAAAGGCCCAGTGGAAACAGAATGTGATCACTGCGGTGCAGATTTTGAAGGATAACTTGCCAAGGTATGGGGAATAGGGAAATCGGGTAGTCGGCGATTTTTCTCGATTACTGTATCATAAATAATACGCTTGGCAATCGTCGGCAATTGGTCGGCGATTGTCGGAAACATATCGGCGACAGGTGCCCATGGTCGCCGAAAATCGAAACGTGCTTGGCGATTGTCGGAAAATCGCTGGCGATCATCGGAAGCTTACCGGCGATCGTTGGAAAGTTGCGAGCAATCGTCGAAAAATTGTCGGCGGTTGTCGGAAGCTTATCGGCCCAGGTCGCCGATGCCAACCTGATCGGAACGTCTCCGCGATTGTCGGCGACTTTCGAAAATTTGTCGGCGAACGTCGGAAGCTTGTCGGCTCTGATCGTAGTAGAATCGGCGACTGTTACCGATGCCTTCCGATGATCAGTAGTGTGTCGACGATTATCGGAAAATCGTCGGCGCCTATTGCCGATGTCTGCCGATAATTGGAACTAGCTTGGCGATCGTCATAAACTTGTCGGCAATCGTCGGCGACGACTAAAACTTGATTTATGACACTTGCCAATTCTTGGCGATCATTTTCCAATGGTCACCGATAAACTCCGATCAAAAAAAACCAAAAATCCTTTTTCCAGAACCATCGTCTCAATGACGGGAATGTTTGACATGCGAATGCTCCGCCAAATCGACCACGACAAATACTTCTGCGATGGTCTTCACACCTTCGAGTGCCCCTGCGAAAAGAATAAGGCATTCACCAATGACTTGGTCTCGGCCGCTTGCCATCGCTACATGGACGCCCAGTTGGAGATCCAGAATTCCGGAATCTTCGACACCACCGACGACTTCACCTTCGTCGTTCAGCCATTCTTCAACGGCATCACTATTCCACCACTAAAACCCGACGGAGATGTCAATTTGGACTGGTTCGCTCCAGATTGCTTCCATTTCTCGAAGCTGGGACATGCCAACGTTGCCAAGCACTTGTGGAATAATATTGTGCAACCGGTAGGATCGAAAACACAATTGTGAATCTGTCGGACCCAACGATCCCTTTGAATTGTCCGGACACCAGTTGCCCATTCTTCAGAACCACTAAGAATTCTTTGGACTGCTCCAAATATATGACCGCCTAAATTTTCGTGTGTTTGTATGTAGTTTTAAAGTGTTATCGGGTTTCAAATGTATTGAAATAAAAAATTTTATTGCACAAATTGATCATTGGAATTCGAGGGGACACAATTCAAAAATGGGCGGAGCTATGGAGATCAAATATTGACACTGGGAAAAAACTTAAAAAGTTTCGTTATTCGGAATTTAGACATCTGATTTTTCTGATTTTTCGTCATCCTGTTCCTCCAATTTTCGATCTTCAGGAGATCCATCGAAATCGATTTTTTCTCGCTCCGTCTCGATTTTCTTCCACTTAGTACGCCGATTTTGGAACCAGATTTTGACCTGAAAACATGAATTTTCTAAGTGTTTTTGTGCTTTTCGAGCTACAGTCATCTTAAAAATTCAGACATTTGAAGTTTTTTGGTGATATTTAGAGTAAGCTTTAAAAAACTGAAATTTTCATCTAAAAATGTTTTTTCAACTAGGGATTCTTGAGCCCATTCGGTCTACAGTAACCTAAAATTGAGCTAGAAACTTCTAGAATTGAAAATACCTGAGTCTCTGTAACATCCAGCCGTCTTGCCAATTGACTTCGATCACTACTCGACAAATATTTTTTCGAATCAAATTGTTTTTCCAATTCGAACACTTGTTTGCCCGAAAATGTGGTCCGCGCCTTCTTTTTCTTGGATTTCATCACATGTTTCTCATCAGAAGACGTGGGATTTTGGGAATTGGATTCTGAATTTTTTAATTTTTTGATTTGCGAGGTTTTTTTTTTTTTGAAAAATACGAGATGATACGCTCAAAGCTCCAGGAAAAGGAATCTATTCGAAATTTCCCGGAGATATTGAAACTCAGAATCCCTTGAAAATCAGAATTTCAAAAAAACCTACTACATCTTCCAAATTCGTCAAATTCCTCTCCATCGGCTGATGGTAAATCCAGAATGTCTTTGATAAAATATCCCGACTTTTTGGTTCCTGATGGTTTTCCGGATTCTGGTGTCATAAGAGACAGATAGGGTTGGAGAAGTTGAAGCAACAATTCGGCTTCCATGTTTTGGGGAAATCTGAAAATTTGAAAAAAAAATTCTGAAAAAAATCAGAATCCTGAGATTTTTGAGAATCCAAAACAACCAAAAAATCATTAAAATTCAGAAAACTAAAAGAATCCGAAAAATCCTCAGCATCCTAAATCCTGAAAACTTGGTATTTCTCGATTTTTGGATATTTGAGAAAAAGTTGAAAAATTCTTAGAATTTCAAATTTCCAGAAATCCCTAACACTCTAAAAACTGAGAAATCTCCAAAAAATTGAAAAAATGAGTTTTCAGAAAAGTCCAAAATCTAAGAATGTTAAGTCTCAGAATAACAGAACTTCAGAATTTCTGAATTTCTGAATTTCTGAATTTCTGAATTTCAGAATTTTCGAATTTCAGAATTTCAGAATTTCAGAATTTCAGAATTTCAGAATTTCAGAATTTCAGAATTTCAGAATTTCAGAATTTCAGAATTTCAGAATTTCAGAATTTCAGAATTTCAGAATTTCAGAATTTCTGAATTTCATAATTTCAGAATTTCAGAATTTCAGAATTTCAGAATTTCAGAATTTCAGAATTTCAGATTTTCAGAATTTCAGAATTTCAAAACTTTGGAATTTCTGAAATTCTGAATTTCTGGACTTCTTAATTTCTGAGCTTGTGAATTTCAAAAACCCTAAAGATCCTAAAAATCTTAAGAATCCAAGGAATCATAAAAGTACTAAAAATTCTAATAATTCAAAGAATCTTAAAAATCCCAAGAATTTTAAAAATCATATCCCTGAAAATCCCGAAAATTCTAAAAACCCAGATTTCGATTTTCCTAAATTCCTAAAAGTTCAAAAACTCAATCTCCTAGACCCTACTCACTTTTAGTACCTACCGTAGTCGAAAATCCTGGAAATGCAAATAATTTTTAAAAATCCTAAAAATCCTAAAAATCCAAAGAATCTGGGAAAACCCAGACTTTCTTGAATTTCCAAAAATCCTAAAAGTTCAAAAACTCCAAAATAAAACTCCTAGACCCTCCTAAGTTAGGAGTCCTAACTTTTAGTACCTACCGTAGTCAAAACTCTCCAGCAGCTACTCAAAAAGAAGTCAATCTCAAATGATTGAACAAGTTCTCGAACCCACCACCCGAGAATTTTCCCACGGGACTTTTGATGGGTGTCGAAAATGGTCAATTTGCCAAAGTGGTGTCGATGATTGCGCAATTGGAGAAGGGAATACGGGCGGTACAAGAAGGGAAAAGAGGTTTTCTGAAGAAGATGAGCAATGAGAAGGCAAAGAAGCAACGAGGAGGACGAGCAAATTGAATCAGGAGAGATTTGAGAAAATGGCGCGGGAATTGGGGCGGATGATGTTGATGATGGTTGAGTGGTGGTGTCGCTTGACACAATTGGTTGGAATATACTTTTAACAGAGAAAAAAAATTGGGACCAAATGGGATTTTTTTAAAGCTAAGGGGTTTCTGGACCACTTGAAAACTGTCAAATTTCAGTGAAAACAGTCAGCGAAAGAAATGCATTTTTAAATTCTTGAAAAAAGTATCTTAAACTTTTCAGATTGATTTGAAAATTTCAAACTATACAAAACAAAACTAGAGCTTCATTTTTGTAATGGACAACTTTTTTGAAAAATTTGATCCTAGGGAGATATGCCACGTGGAAAAAGCTCCCCCCACTTTCCTTCAGAAAAAAAAGGGGGTGGGGTGAGGGCTTTTTTCGCGCCGCCTCTGAGGACCTCTTCATCCACGTGGCATATCTCTTCAGGCTCAAATTTTACAAAAAAGTCGTCAACTACAAAAATGAAGGCCTAGTTTTGTTTAGTATATTCGGAAATTCTCAGAAAAATTAAGCCAAACGGACTATACTTCTTAGGCTTTTCAAATTGTCCAACCCTATAATCAAGCATTCATCTTTGAACCTATTTATCTGGATTCCTGTAAAAGATATCAAAAGATTGTCAACTAAAAATGTTGCTGATAATATGATAAACATTTCATCAATGGACAACTTTTTGATATATTTTACAGGAACTGAGATAAATTAGATCAAAGTTATGTGTTACAATTTTTAGGGAGAAACTTTATATTGAAATTCAGAAGCTGTTGAAACAACTGGAAATAAACACTGAAGTTTAAGAAAACTTTCAAAAACACACAGCAATCATATGTATTTCGAAAATGTACATAACACATAATTAAGCATGAACAAGTGTTCAGTTCAGAAATAGGCAATTTTGGAAATTTTGGAAATTCTCGAATTTCTAAAACTTGAAAATTCAGCAAAATTGAAGGTTTTTGGTATTTATAGTGTCAAAAATTCAGATGATGTTTAAGATCGATTTAAAAATTTCCAAAGGTAAAGAATTGGACTTTTGGTTCTCTGAAAACTTTCTCCATGAGCTCTTTGAGCATTTCCCACATGCTCTTTGTGGGTTGATAAGGGTGAGATGTCGCACATGACAATTATGAGCTTACAGAGAATTTTTCGAAGACGCTTAGAGGAAATTTTGGGAGAACTGGTGATGTTGGGGAAAATAAAAGTATATAATTTTTAAGCGTTTTCTTCAAATGCCAATAATTAGTCAGTATGAGCGTGTACTCTCGGAAGAATCTTAAAAATTCCATCAAAGTTTCTAAAAATTCTTTTTATCAACTTTTCGGGGACTTCTGAATGTTCTAAAATTCCGGAATTCGCATTCCTGACACTTTGAAAATTAAAACATTCTGAAATACCGAACTTTTTGAATTTTTAAAAATTTTGAAGAACTTTTTGAGATTCGGGAAAATTCAAGAAACCGCAGAAAGTCCAAAAAATCCAAATACAGTATCCGTCGATTTTAAGCTTAATATTCTCGATTCTACTGATAAAATATTGATGATATTATGATAAATAATTTATCAGTTGAAAAAATTTAGATATATTTTACAGGAGCCGAGATAATTGAGCTCAAAGCTGACGGTTCGGTCTTCTATTAGAGTAAGGAACGGTAGTCAATTCAAAAAGTTCTAAATATTCTGAAAATCCTAAAATTGTTTATTTTCCTGTAAATTAGCTTTCAGGTTTTTTAGAATTTTGGGAATTCCAAAAATCAGAATTCTATTACTAAACGGTTAGTAACGTAACATATCCTCTTCTAAAGATAAACCAACAAATTGAGCTCTCTTCTCATCTAGATCAACAAATCTGAATACAACCTAATCAACCACCGCTCATTTCCTCTCCGTTTTCCCTATTTTTATTTCAGAAATCCCTTTTCAACATTTTCTCAATTGCCAATCCTTCTCATTGTTATCCCCCCAGCACCCCATTCTGCCACACTAAACGTCTTCAGAATTTCTGAAGAAATTTTCGAGATGAGATAGGATGAATTCAATTCAGTCTATCAATTAGTTTTCTTCCACGGAGGATTCATTCAATTAATTTTTTTTCAATTGGACGGGAGACCGAACAAAAAACTGCTTTGTGGAAAGAACATCTGGATCTATAGACAGACAGACAGACAGAATTATAGGGTTGGGCTTTTTTTAGAGTTTTTGGGTTTTCAGAATTTCCAAATATTAGTGAATGTTAAGATTCCAACGGATTTCTAGCATTTTCAGATTTTACGCAATTTTGAATTTTTAGGATTTTATGATTTTGAAAAATATTGGTTCTTCAGAATATTGAGATTTTGATTTCTAGAATTTTTGAGTTTTGAAAGTTTTAGGTTTTTTGGAAATTTAGATTTTCCCATTTCTGAATTTCTGAATTTCCAAGTATCGGATTTTCGAAATTTCCAATTTTCAGAAATTTCCATATACTTTGGTTTTTTCTCAGAATTTTTTGAGTTTTTTTTCTGATTTCCGGCAAGTTCAAAATTCGAAAATCTTGACATTTTACGATGTGAAAATTTCCAGAAATTCATTCTAGATTCCTTTAAAATTTACAGAACTAATTTTGAGCCTATTTAACGAGATTGGTGTAAAAGATATCAAGAAGTCGCCAACTAATAAAATGTTTATCATGATATCAGCAACATTTTATCAGTTAACCACTTTTTGATGTCTTTTACAGGAACCCAGATAAATTGGCTCCAAATTGAGATCTCTGTCGGCCAACTTGTAATTTTAGATCCCCAAACTTTAAGCCAAATTATCTCATTTTTTTGAAAGATATCAAAAAGCGGTCAACTAATAAAATGTTTATCATAGTATCAGCAACATTTTATCAGTTAACTACTTTTTGATGTCTTTTACAGGAACCCAGATAAATTGGCCCCAAATTGAGCTCTCTGTCGGCCAACTTGTACCTTCTATTGATATCTCTTACAGGAACCTAGATAAATTGGCTCAAATTATAGGGCATTCTATATGAGTGGTTACGGTATTTTGAAATTTTCTTCTCTAGATATTTCAAAAATAATAATCACAGTCAAAAAAAAATTCATAAACATAGAAGTTCATCATATTCAATTTGTACAGACAAGTGCCGACCATATTTGTATGGATGGTAAATTTTCGAAAAAAAAACAAGAAAAAAACGGGAATGGCAACGGCGGGAACCCAAAAAGAATATATAGGGAAATTCAAAAAAGTTGTGAGCGGAGAGCCTGAGCAATCGTGCAGTGGGAATTTGAAGCAAAGCATAAATAAAGGGAACAAAGAAAAACAGAAGAGATAAGTTACGACAACTACTGTAAGGGGGGCCTTAAGGCCTAAGGTATGAGCCTAAAGGCCTTAATCCTCCCAGGTCAAAGAGTGACGGTTCTCGTATCTCAGTTGGCAGTTTCTCTTTCCGTACCAGTTGACATAGGCGAACTCGGCGTCGGAGACGATGGCGTTGAAGCGTCCTCCGAATTTGGCTGAAGCGTCTCCTTCGATCTTACGGGCGGCCTCGAGGTTGTCCTGGAAAAAATATTTTTGTTTAAAAATGTTCAAAAGATGTTAATTAATTGGTCCAAATTGCATGAAAATCGGGTCCATTTGAGCAGAGTTATGGATTACCGTAACCTCCAATAGAATGACGCCGCCTCCCCAGTTCTCAACTTTTAAATTTGATCTCATATATCTCATTTTCTGTGAAAGATATCAAAAAGTAATCAACGGATAAAATATTGCTGATAAGATGGTAAACATTTTGTTAGTTGACCACTTTTTGATATCTCTTACAGAAACCCAGACAAATGGGCTCAAAGGTAAAAGCTAGAAGGGGACGGCGGTCATTCTTTAAGAAAGGGGAAGACTTCAAACTTTGATTAAATTTACCTCACTTCCTGTAAAAGATATCAAAAAGTGGTCAACTGATAAAATGTTTCTGAAGTTACGATTAACATTTTGTTAGTTGACTACTTTTTGATATCTTTCACAGGAAGCAAGATAAATTGGCTCAAAGTTAGCGGTTCCAGGAGAGGAACAATTTTTTCAAAATTTTAGTTTTTTGAATTTTTTTGGGAATATTTGTCATTTTTCTATACATGAAAATCGTTTCATTTTGCACAGAATCAAGAACGAAATTCGTCCGGGTGTCCACTATCTCCACTACAGTAACCTCCTACACGATTCTCACCACTACAGTAACCTACAGCATCCCTACAGTAACCTACAGGATCCTTACTGTGCGCCACAAGGCTGTCAGTAGCACAGTACTTCAAAACCACGGCTTCTTTGATTGGGATATTGCAGCCTAGCGGTCCTAGATTTCTGTGGCTGGCTAGCTGAGCTTATTTCCGAACGAGCTGACAGCTTGGTCCATGGCAACTTACCCGGCCGACCGGCCGCGGCCCTGTTCCTTCTCGACAGCCTTGATTAGTCAGACATACACCTTGGCATCCTCTAAATCAATCAAATCTATGATTTCTAACCCCCAATGTTCCAGGTAATTAGCTAAACACAACTGTGACTGATTTATGTGTCCACCCACTTTTTATATTAAACGAATCTAATAATCTTTTGTAATTCTTCCCCCTCTTCTAAAACCTATCCAATTTCCATTCCTCCTTCAATTTACATAACAAGAATTAAGAAAACCGGTGTAGTGTCTTCTATCTCTGACTTTTTTGCAACATTTCAATGTCATTAAGGTATATCCCCCTCCGTGGGTGTTGTAAATAGGTACGCTAACGATATATCCAGTTCTCATGGCGATGTCTCCTCTCTCCCGTTATCAAGTTTTCTGATGACGTAAGGTTGGATATGGCAGATGGCAGAAAAAAACGCGTGGCGATTTTTTGAGTACACTTTTTGTAACACTGATCAACTTAATGAACCGGTACCGTAATTCCCAAAAAAAAGCCAAAAATCCAAATAAAGCTTAAATTTCCAGAGCCGTTTTTCAGAACTTCCAAAATACCCAAACATTTGAAAATTACAGATTATACTAAACAAAACAAGAGCTTCATTTTTGTAGTTGGCAACTTTTTTGTAGAATTTGAGCTTAAGGAGATATGCCACGTAGAAGAAAGGGGCCCGAAATTAGAAGTCCCCTCTAGAAGCCCAAAGGGGGGGGGGAGCGAAATTTTGGCGCCGCCGCTGAGCAACCCCTTCTTCAACGTGGCATATCTCCTTGGGCTCAATTTTTACGAAAAAGTTGTCAACTACAAAAGTGAAGCTCCAGTTTTGTTTAGTATACTATACAATTTTCAGACTAATCAGAAAATATATACGCACTTCTGTAGACTTGTGAAATTGGCTAACACTAAAACTAAGCACCCTAACTTTGACCCAATTTATCTAGATTCCTTTGAAAGATATCGAAGATTTGCAAGCTACAAAAATGTTAGACATGTTATCAGTAACGTTTTATCTGTGAACTACATTTTGATAACTGATAAAGGAACCGAGATAATTGATCTGGAAAATCACGAATTTTTCTTCCCACATAATGATGCCCCTAGTTTTCAAGCAGATCCGGCAATTTTCAAAATGTTTGGACAACCAACCTTAAGTACCTTAAGCTACCTTAAGCACCTACCTTAAGCTAGCTAAACTTCACGTACCTTCTCATTCTTCAAAGCGTTCTCAACGATGGCGCGCAGCTCTGGATCGTCGCAGTTTCCTTCGTCTCCCTCCTCATCGGCGTACTCGACGGCTTCGTTGGTCTCCTGAGGATAATTGGGTTTAGGAAGACTAGAGTCTAGGAGAAGAACGAAAATGTTCGATCTAGCCCGCGGCCGACCACGGTTCTTAATTCCGAACTTATTCGAAAATGCGTCAATTATTGGGCTGATTATACCCCCTAGACCGCGGCCGAACAAAATCCTTCCTACGATAAACCTTCTCACCTCAACAGTATCAACTTGCTCAGTGGCGGCCTCGGTAGCGGTGGCTGGTTGCTCCTCAACGATATCATCATAGGTGGACTCCTCCTTGGCAGCAGCAACTGGTGCTTGCTCAACTGGAGCTGGCGCTGGGGTCTCCTCAACAACTGGTGCCTGAGTCTCCTCGACAACTGGGGCTTGGGTCTCCTCGATGATTGGAGCTTGAGTCTCCTCAACGACAACGGTGGCGGCCTCGGTGACGGTCTCTGCAACAGTCTCTTCGACAACTGGGGTCTCAATGATTTCTGGCTCTGGTGCTGGTTGCTCTGGTGCTGGCTGCTCAACTGGTGCGGGTTCTGGTGCTTGGGCGACTTCGACGGTTTGCTCCTCGACTGGAGTTGGAACTGGTCCTTGGGTGTAGGTGGCGACTGGTGCGACTGGCTCGACAACTGAATAATGGGTGGGTGGTGAAGGTGGGTGATGATTTTTTGTGGTTCAAAATGCATTGTGAAAGGTGGATGCAAGCCCAGTAAAAAACTCAAAACTGTGGATCATGCAAAACAAAACTAACCCTGTGGAGCAGCTGGCTGCTCTGGTGGAGCTTGGTAGAGTCCTCCGTGAGACACCTGGGTCACCTGAATGGAGTTGACTGGTCCGGATTGGTATCCTCCTTGTTGTGGAGCTGGCTGCTCAACTGGAGCAACTTGAGCTGGTCCAGCTTGGTAACCTTGTCCTCCTTGAGCAGCTCCTTGTCCAGCATATCCTTCTTGTCCTCCTCCCTGGATACCTTGAGCTGGTCCGGCGGCGTAGGATGGTCCTTGTTGTTGGCCTCCTCCGATTGGTCCTTGAGCTGGTCCAGCGGCGTAGCTTGGTCCTTGTGGAGCTCCTCCTCCGATTGGTCCTGGTCCAGCATATCCTTGCTGTCCTCCTCCGATTGGTCCAGATTGGTAACCTCCTTGTGGGGCTCCACCGAATCCTCCTTGTGGTCCTTGGCTGTAAGCTCCACCGGCGATTGGTCCGGCAGCTCCAGCGTATCCGGCGGATGGTGGTGGTGGTGGTGGAGGTGGAAGGGCGGCTGGTGCGGCAGCGTAGGCTCCGCCTCCGCTTGCGTAACTGTAAATAGGTGTCGCTTAGGCGATGAATGACAGTCTTTTGAAGACGTCAAGCAGGTTTTGCGGACAGGAAAAGGACACCCGCTTCCGCCTTGGCTGAATGGGGTGGCAAATGGACTTATGGCGCCGTTTTGAATGCCTTTTGAATTCCGAAATGAATTCAAAACATTTTCTTAGAAGATCTTGGTCAAGTGGCAGTTTCTATTTTTGGTCTTTTTGAATTTTTAGAATTCGTTTTCAGAACTAGACTTTGAAGAAAGCTTGTATCACTATTTTGGGACTCAGGCAAAATTACAGAGGTAGAAAAATGACTAAATTTTGTCAGTCATCCTAGAAAAAGTGCATCTGAGGTACAGAAAAAAAATAACTGGGATCTCAAAAAAAATTAAATGACTGAAATTATGAAAAAAAAACCTACACATGTCTTGAATTGTTTAAAACTGCCTAGAATTCAAAAAAAACTTGAGATTATTTGAAACCCTTGAAAAACACAAAAAAATACATTTCAAAACCGTCTCAAAAGGTTTCGAAAAACCTCATGCTTAAAAATAGGCACAAATGTCTAAAAAATGCTAAAAATGCAAAAAAAGATCTCGTAAATTTGACCAAATTTATCTCGGTTCCTGTAAAAGGTATCAAAAAGTAATCAACTGGTAAAATATTTGTGATATTATGATAATCATTTTGATAGTTGACAACTTTTTGATATCTGTCACAGAAATCAAGATAAATTTGGTAAAAGGTAAGTCCCCAAAAAGAGGGGGAATTTTTATGACTTATTATATGGTAAGCCAATTTCATAAGTCTACAGAAGAAAATGAAATTGTCCGATTAGTCTGAAACTTTCAGAGTATACTAAACAGCACTAGAGCTTCATATTTGTAGTTGACAACTTTTTTGTAGAATTTGAGCCCAAGGAGGTACGCCACGTGGAAGAGATCCTCCTTTTTTGGCGAGGAGGACCCCTCAAAAAAAGGGGAGGGGGAGGTGCACCTTCGTGTTACAAGTAAAGAGGGTCCCTTCCACGCGGCATATCTCATTAGGATTGAATTTTACAAAATAGTTGTCAACTACAAAAATGAAGCTCTAGTTTTGTTTAGTATACTCTGAAATTTTCAAAACGGTATGAAAAATTTCGAATGCTTTTTTCAAGGATCTAAAAGTGCCACTTTTTCACTGAAATTGACAATTTTTTAACCAAAGACCAAGGAGTTTTTAAAGATCAAAAAAATTTAGAGAAAAGTAAATTGGAACACTATGAATGTAAAGAACAAAATCTCACCTGGAGCTAGAGCATGGTGGGGTAGCTGGTGCGCACGATGGTTGCGATGGTGGGCAACATCCGCCGGCACTTCCGGCACCTCCGATGCATGCCAACGCGGGCGACACAGCCAATAAAACGGCTAGCACAACTCTCATTTTGGATTCTAGAGGGAAGAAAGTGGAGTAACTGTCGGAATGGCAACGAAGCCGAGTGCCTTTTCTACCTTCCCCCACTCTTTTTCGACTCCGCCCACTTTCGACCGCCTGCCGCCTGGGGGCCGTTTTATCGCGCAATTGATGACGATGATGAGATGAAGCTTCTCTCTTTTCCTTCCGATTGCGACATTTCAAAGCGAAGACTGGATAGAAGGTGTATGTCTGTGTTGCAGAGAAATTTTCCGCGCAATCCCAAATGGGGTTGTTCGTGTTCGGCTAAAAAAATCAGATGGATGGAATGGAATGGGTAAAGAAGGGGAAATATGGCAGATTATGCCAAATCGCCATAGTGATATCATATCGTATGATTGCTCATCATTTTGATTGATTATCTTTAATAAGGCCGGTTTTTAGATTCAACGATTCCTTGAGTCTGAAATTTTCAAAACTAAATTTTTGTGCCCTTTTCTTTGAGCCAAGTTATCTCGGCTCCTATAAAAGATATTGAAAATTTGTCAACGAATAAAATATTGCTGATAATACGAGAAACATTTTATCAGTTAACAACTTTTTAATATCTTTTACAGCAACCCAGTTGAATGCGCTCAAAGTTAGAGGCTCTTCTAACCTTGTCACACCACCCTGGGTGACACCCATCATAAATAAAAAGAGAGTCTTATCTTTTATATTTATGTGTAAAAAAGTGAAATCAGCATATAAATCAGATAAGATATCAATAATCAAAGAGGATAGATTTTTTTCAGATTTTTGAGAAAAAAAATCGGATTCCTAGATTTCTAATCCTTGTTCGAATGATTTTTTTCCCTTTTTCCTGAATGTACTCCCCGGTGAGTAATCAGGCGGAAAAATCAGGAAAAAAGGGAAAAAGAAGCTAATTATTTTATAATTTCACTTTTTTGACATTAAAAAGTGAAAATTAAAAGTCTAGACTTTTTTAAAAACTCAATGTTCAAGGTAGTCCAGTAATTTAGGAATTTCAGAACTTTGGGATTTTTGTACAACATTTTTTTAAAAATCAGAAAATTCGAATTCGAATATTCACAAAACAAAATAAAAACCCAAATTTCCTAAAAATCAAAAAAATTCAAAGTTTCTGAAAATTCATTAAAAAAGTATTGAAACATTTTGGATGAAAATGTGAAAATTCTGATTTGCAATTAGGAAGTTTGGAAAATTCCGGATTGTAGGAAATTCAGCAAATACTGAGAATCTCAAAAATTCCAAAACTCTGGGAGCTTTGAAAAGTAATTTTTCAGCAAAAAAAAATAATAATTTTCTAAAAAGTTCAAATATAAAATTTCATCAGCATTCAAAATTTCAAGGGGTTTTTTTGGGATGTGGGCCCACAAGTTCAATTCCTTGAAAAGATTATAATTCGAGAATTTTATTAATACCCCTCCTTGAAATCTCTACTTCTTCAGTTCCCATTCAACCTTGCAATCCCCTTATAAATCCTTTTTTCTTCGTTTTCCCATCTAATTTTTATTTGATAATCTATTTTCTCAAATCATTAAAAAATGAAGGACATTTCAGCTTTTTTTGGCTCCCGCTGGTCTTCTTCATTTGACCATTTAGTATATACAATAAATGGCCTGTCAAATCCATCATCAAATTACCATACTTTCTCCCTCCGGTGAAACTTTTTTCGCTTGAAAAGTGAATGAAAATGTAAAAGTCGGGGATAGGAAGAGAATCTACGTTATAGAGTTACACATTTTACACTAAATTATCACTGAAGATTCTGAAAAACCTTCTAGAAGAAACGGTTGCGTAATGCCCATATGTAGACAGCAGGTATCGCGTATTTTTTCATCTGCCGAAAGAGATAAACATTGATAAAGAAGGAGGTAGTGATAAGAGGAAAAATCAAGGAACGGGAAATGTATGGGAACAAGGAATTACATAGAGAGAAATAATAATGAACTTTTATGGATGCGTTGAAGAAGGAATAGTGGGGGATAAGTGCAAAGTACCTGACAAAAGACAACATTCTTCCTTTGGGCAGAATTATAGTTATTGAGTCGTAAAATGGCAGATTTGATACTTATTGGCAAGTTGCAACCCTTTTCATGATCACCGGACTCTTCCTCGGGGGCCTAAGAGAACCTTATTTAAAGTACCTATACCTCGCTTATCTTTTTTACCGATTACTATAAAATTTAAATTTTTGAACTCGGTGTTTTCTGAGTTTTCGAAAGAGCGTAATTAATACAAAGTTGAAAAAAAACCTCGGTGAGCTACTCGGCGTTTTTTGCTCTATACGTTATTAAAATAGGTCCACTTTTAAAATAGCCTTATCTTGATTTTTTTCACCAAATTCATTTAAATTTAGATTTTTGAATTCGGCGTTTTCTGAGCTTCCCAAAATGCCTGAATATGTCAAAGTTTAACAGCAACTTGGCAAGTTACGCGGTGGTTTTGACGCTATGTCCCTCAGTTCTTCTGACTCTATACGTCTACATAATACCTTATTTCAATTGGCCACATCTCGATGATTATTTTACCAAATTCTATGAAATAAATATTTGGTAAACTTTCAGTTCAATTCGGTGAGTTTCCAGTTCAGTAGAGCGAATTTGCAAATTGATTTTTTTTAGATTTTCAGTGTTTTTGTTCCGTTCACTCCTTTTTCACACAGCTCATTTTTTGTTGGATATACGGAAAAGTGGCCTAGCATTCCACAATTTCAGATATTCTTGAAATAAAATCCTGAAGAACGTTACACATAATTTACCTTACATCAGTTTTAAGATGCAGAAAAAAACTTCCTAGCCCCCAAAACCTTTTCGGGTTTGAACATATCAGATCATTACACTTTTCAAAACAGGTAGATTTAGAAAAAAGAGAGATTGACATTCGAACGCTGATCCTTTGAATCGATAAGCCTAGACGTGTTTCTATGACCTTAGCCGACCGGACCGGGCCGCCAGCGGCCCACGGCCGCCTTGGGACCTTGACCGGCCCAGCCAAGCTCATTGGCTCATTTCTATGAAATTCTATGCTCTCTCTAGAAGATTCTAATGTTTCAAATTTTTCTCCCACACGCGCCATACCAATTTTGATTTCCACAAAAAAAGGTGTCCATTTTTTCGGCATTTTTATCGATGACCGGATCGTTAGCCGGTGTGTTTAGATGAGAATGTAAATGGCATAAACGGGTTCTCTTTGAGAAGGACACACTTGTAAAATGAAATGCAAAAAAGGATGGACAAAATGGCGGGATAGGGGGGGGGGGGAGTGAAAAATCATAATAATAACAAATTCGGAATTTTGATGACACGGGATATTCGAGGAGGAAGAAGACACAAGTGACGCATGCGTCTTATACTCGAGAGAGAATTAATTTGGAGATCTTAGATTCTTAGATCCTTACAAGTGTGCCAGGATCCTAAAAATCCTTAAAATGGTTGCATATTCGCATTAGCAAAAAAGCTCTTCAAATTCGGTCCGTCGAAGTTTAGAGCCAAAAATGTCATCCTTAGTGTTCCGATAAAAGCTAGTTTGAGATTTTAGGATAAATTGGTCCTGTGTATTTAATAATATACTGTAATCTGAACAAAACATGTATACGCTCTCGAAAATACAATATCTGCATTCCTAGATTTTCCAGAAACTCCTTAAGTTTCTAGAGATCCCAATTTTCAACAACTTACTCAAATCTGTTAGTGAGATCTAAATCTCATAACCGTTCTTGCGTAAAAAGGTGAAAAACTTTCTCTCCTTTCCCCCTTAAGCTTTTCCTGTTTATCTGACCTTTTCGCAACATCATTTTCACTCTCATCGAATACCCGAACCGAATAAAAAACTTCCGCCTAATTGCATCAATTTAATTATTACAAAGGTTTTGAACTGAGTAGCTGTAAACATTTTGGATATTATTTGTAAAAACGGAAAATTTGATAAGATAAAAGATAAAGAGGGATACCTGTTTTATGGGATAGAGACTTTTACAAAAAACAATGTAGTAAAATATAGAAATTTTTAGATTTAAGTGGTTGTAAAGGATTTCTTGATTCTGGGGAATTTTATAATTTTTGCTATGAGGAAATTCGGAAATCCAGAAATTCGGCAATTCTAAAATTCCGAAATTCCGAAATTCAGAAATTCAGAAATTCAGAAATTCAGAAATTCAGAAATTCAGAAATTCAGAAATTCAGAAATTCAGAAATTCAGAAATTCAGAAATTTAGAAATTTAGAAATTTAGAAATTTAGAAATTCAGAAATTCAGAAATTCAGAAATTCAGAAATTCAGAAATTCTAAAATTCCGAAATTCAGAAATTCAGAAATTCAGAAATTCAGAAATTCAGAAATTCAGAAATTCAGAAATTCAGAAATTCAGAAATTCAGAAATTCAGAAATTCAGAAATTCAGAAATTCAGAAATTCAGAAATTCAGAAATTCAGAAATTCAGAAATTCAGAAATTCAGAAATTCAGAAATTCAGAAATTCAGAAATTCAGAAATTCAGAAATTCAGAAATTCAGAAATTCAGAAATTCAGAAATTCAGAAATTCAGAAATTCAGAAATTCAGAAATTCAGAAATTCAGAAATTCAGAAATTCAGAAATTCAGAAATTTAGAAATTCGGAAATTCAGAAATTCAGAAATTCAGAAATTCAGAAATTCAGAAATTCAGAAATTCAGAAATTCAGAAATTCAGAAATTCAGAAATTCAGAAATTCAGAAATTCAGAAATTTAGAAATTCAGAAATTCAGAAATTCAGAAATTCAGAAATTCAGAAATTCAGAAATTAAAAAATTCTGAAATTCTGAAATACTGGAATCCTGAAATTCAGAAATTCAGAAATTCAGAAATTCAGAAATTCAGAAATTCAGAAATTCAGAAATTCAGAAATTCAGAAATTCAGAAATTCAGAAATTCAGAAATTCAGAAATTCAGAAATTCAGAAATTCAGAAATTCAGAAATTCAGAAATTCAGAAATTCAGAAATTCAGAAATTCAGAAATTCGG